AATATCCACATAGCTAGCTCCTTCTCCTGCGTGTTGGAGATATCCTCAGCCATCTCCAGTCGGATCCTTCTCCTGTTGTGTGCTGCAATTCTCTCCAACCGGCCGTAGGATCTTGAACCTGAAACATTCGACACTATACATCAACATTCGACTCCCAACTTCTATTTTTTTTTTCCTGTTAATATTAATTCCCTTGAAAACACATTGTATGAAATATTTTTGTATTTATTACATTATTAATTAATTTAATTTTAAATAATAATATATTTAATTAAATAATTTTATCATAAATAATTATTTTAAAATATAATTACGTTAACACTAAAATATTTTCGGTATAACCAGCACTTCTAGCAGTTACTGGCAGCACTAGAGAGCACTGTTAAACCCAACTTTTAAAATCGTGAAATTGAGTTTGCTCGGCGGACCCATATACTTTCCATGGAAGAAGATCAAGATTACGATTACCTCGCCCGTCGTCCTGTTCATTCGTCGGACGAGGAAGGCCAAAGCTATAGCGGTTTTGATAATTCAATTCATGGATCCGACGACGGTGACGAACTCCTTAGTCATCTTCATTCGTCAGATGAGGAAAGGCAAAACGGAAGGAACTACTATTTCAGTGATTCAGCCAGATCTGACGAAGGTGATGAGCGATACAGGCCGGGAAGTGTTCGGAGCTCTCCCAAAAGACGCAAAATTCCCGAGGTAGATCGCATCAGTGACTTGCCTGACTCTGTCATCCATCATATCCTCTCATTTCTACCGGCTGAAGATGCCGTCAAGACCGGTGTTTTGTCTAAGAGATGGATGTATCTATGGACCCATGCCCCAAAACTTACCTTCAGACACGATCTTTATTGTTCTCCATCAACTCTTCAGGGATTCTTGAGGTTTGTCGATAAAACCCTATTTTTCTACTCCTCTGGCAAGATAGAAAAATTTGAGCTGGATTTTGACTATATAGAGGCCGAAAACGATCATAGATTAGCCAACACAACTGAGAGTTGTTTAGATTCTTTAATCCACAAATGGCTCCGTTTGGTTACGAGATATGATGCAGAAGAGCTTTCTTTGAATTTCTTCCAAAGGGATAGGGATCAGTATTGGACATTGTATAGGCTTTATAATCGATGTTCCATCCCGCAATTTGCCTTCAACAGTTCTTCACTCACAAAATTAAGTACGAGACTATGTGATTATGCACCCAAGGGACAGGTATGTTGGACATCCCTTAGGGTTTTGACTATAGAATATGGTGAGTTGTCCAATGATGCGATTCAAAGGATTTTATCAGGTAGTCCTATGCTTGAACACATGAAATTGCATTGCTGCTGGGGTATAACTAGTATTAATATTGGTTCAAGTTCTGTGCTTGAATACTTGGAAGTTAGCAATTGCTGGCCTATATCTCGTATTGTTATTAGTCCACATTGTAGGATGGAGAAATTGGTGTTGAAAGAGCAGATTCCTGAGATTGGGGAATCCAACTCTGTAATGGAAATTTTGTGTCCTACTCTGAAATCATTGGAAATTTCTGGGAATTGGAACTGCACGGAATTCAGGTTGTTCAATGTGTCATCCTTAATTGATGTCTGCCTCACTTTCCAAGTTGAGGTTTCTGACTTGGATTATGTTGACCTCCTGAAGCACCTGCTTGAGAAAATCAAGCATGTCAAGATTATTACTCTTGGCACTTGCTGTGTTCAAGTAAGTCCTTTTATCAGCGGTTGTCTAAGATGAATTTTCATTATGATTATATTTTTTGCTGTGAATATTAAATAAGTTGATTTTGACTTTGGAAAATATTGAGCTAATGGTTTTTGGTTTCTTTGATTTGCTAAGGTTCTGTCCATATTAGAGTTCAGAGGATTGCCCTGTCCTTTTTTCAACAGCAGTTGTGAATGCTTAACTCTAAATACAGATTTAAACAAGTGGTATCCCTTTCCAGCGGGACGCTTGTTTCATTGCTTTCCAACTTTGCAGAAACTAGTCATAGACATTACAGATGGTTATGACATAGAGGTATGATCTTCCAGAGTGACTTACAACTTTGAAGTTATTGCTAAGGTTTTCTTTGTCAAATTAATCAATTGGAATCAAGTACCTGTGGTATTCATAAAAATAAATTAATATGTAAAAATATTGGGAAAGTCAATAACTTTAAACTTTGCATCAAGCAATTGAAGTCATGGAACTTGAACTTCCTTTGTGTTTTATGTGTAATTGAAAGGCATTGCATTCTGCTAAGTTTATAATCCTCATCTGCAGGAATGGCCTAACTTTTTTCTTCCACCCAACTATCAAGAAATAGTGGATGAAACTTTCCATGGCTTGTTTGAGCATCTAAAGACCATTGAGATTGGCCTTAGACCCTTTGGTGATGAACCAGATGATCTTGCGTTAGTAGGGTTTCTGCTCGAGAATGCGAGGGTGCTGGAGGAGATGATTATAGACTTTGGATGTAAGGTTTCAATGTATCGTTCCTCTGAAAAGGCTATACTTTTTGAAGTGACTCAGAAATTGCTAAGGTTTCCAAGATGCTCACCTCATGCGGCAGTTCTTATCCGTTAGTTTGTATGTTTTCCTTTCCTTTCCCTTCAACCAAATCTAGTGATTATGTAGTGCAATGCAAAAATGTTGTAACTGGGATTAGTCCAAACTCAATCTTCCTGTAATTATCATGTCTCTAGCTTAGATTGAATTCAGGATTTGAACCAAGTTTTTGCAGGGCACATGGTTTATACTTCAAAGTAGTCTCAAGTCCCAGCAGCATGCTTTGCCCTTTTTTTTGTGGGTCGGCAATAATATTTATTTTTATTTTTATGGAGTGCAGGGGTACTCCTAATCAACTGCATGCTTTGCTTATGTTAAAAATTAAAAACGATAAACCGTATCCATGATCCTTTAGGAACTAAAATTAAATGAGGAAAGGTACAATTAATTGGAGAAATTGTCCATAGCCTCACAGAATTGATTAAACAAGTATAATCTAGACTTATACATCCAAGAACAGAAATAAATTGCAGAGTGCAAGATATATATGAATTTTTCTATACCTTAAACGAGTTTAATTTAATTCGAGATATGAATTTTCAATTAAAACTGCACTATTACATAACATGAAATCCAATTCGGTGTTGTCTGGTTTGCAGTATTGGGTTGGACCGAGAGTTTCCTAAATTGGGCTCTTTCACACCCAACGGCACCAGCCCAACTCTATTTTTATAGGTATTTCTCTTTTTAATAACTTCTCCGTCTCTGACGGTTTGTCTTCTCCCACTGTTTTCTGTTTAGCTACTACTTAGTTCAGGGAAAGAAAGTTCTTTGGTTTTTGCGCGGCAGAACCACCTGCGTTCTATGGGAGAAGATCGAGATTCCGATTACGTCGGCCTTCCTCCTGTTCTTTCACCGGATAAGGAAGACAAAAGCTTTAACATTTTTGTTGATCTTTTACCCCGCAGATCCGGCGTCCTTAGTCCTTTCTATTCGTCGGATGTGCAAAGGGAAAACGAAACCAATCATTATTCAGCCAGATCCGACTATAGTGATGAGGGGCACTGGCCGGAAGGGGTTTGGAGCTCTCCCAAAAGACGCAAAATTCCTGGGGTAGATCGCATCAGCGAGTTGCCCGACTCCGTCATCCACCATATCCTCTCATTTTTACCGGCTGAAGACGCCGTCAAGACCGGTGTTTTGTCTAAGAGATGGATGTATTTATGGACCTGTGCCCCAAAACTTACCTTCCGATACAATCCTTGTCGTCCTGAATTATCTGTTCGGAGATTCTTGAGGTTTGTCGATAAAACCCTATTTTTCTACTCCTCTAACAAGATGGAGAAATTCGAACTAGATCTTGATTGTGTGTTTGCCGAAAAGGAAAGGAATCATTTAGATTCTTTAATCCAAAAGTGGCTCCGTTTCGTTACCAGATGTCTTGTAGAGGAGCTTTCTTTGAAATTCTGCGGAAGTGTTTATCATTATCCCATCCCGCAATTTGTCTTCAACAGTTCTTCACTGACAAAATTAAGTACGACTGAATGTTATTATGCACCCAATGGACAGGTATGTTGGACATCGCTTAGGGTTTTGACTATAGAACACGCTGAGTTGTTCAATGATGCGCTTCAAAAGATTTTAGCTGGTAGTCCTATGCTTAAATACTTGAAATTGTATGCCTGCTCGGTTATAACTAGCATTAATATCAGTTCAAGTTCTGTGCTTGAATACTTGGAAGTGCATAGATGCGGGCATATAACTCGTATTGATGCTAGCTCAAATAGTAGGTTAGAGAAATTGGTGTTGAAAGAAATGCGGAATGATGAGTATGAGGAACACAATGATGTGATAGAAATTTTGTGTCCTAATCTGAAATCAGTGGAAATTTCGGGGTACTGGTTCCAAAAGATATGCAGGTTGTTGAATGTATCCTCGTTAATCGATGCCTGCCTTACATTTGAACTTGAGGTTTCTCAGTTTGATTACATTGACATCCCAAAGGAGCTGCTTGAGAAAATCAAGCACGTCAAGAAAATTACTCTTGGCTCTTATTGTGTTCAAGTAAGCCCTTTTATTTGTGGTAGCCTGAGATGAATGTTGACTGTGATTATATTTGTTTTATGTCTTCTTTTTTTTCTTTTTTTTCCTTTTTCTATGAATGTTAAATGGTTGTTTTTTTATTCTGGAACATATTGGGCTTATGGTTGTTTTGCTCTCTAATTTGCCAAGGTTCTGTCCTTATTAGAGTTCAGAGGATTGCCCTCTCCATTGTACAGCAGCAGTTGCGAATGCTTAACTCTAAATACAGAACTTAACAACTGGTATCCCTTTGGGTTGGCACACTTGCTTCACTGCTTTCCAACTTTGCAGAAACTGGTCATAGACATGACAATTATTTCTGAGACTGAGGTATGACTTTCTGGAGCGACTTACAACTTTCAAGTTATTCGTTTGTTTTCTTTGTCCAGTTAATCAATTGGGATCAAGTACTTATGGTATTCACAAAAAAATGGATGGAAAGTCAATAACTTTAAACTTTTCATCAAGCAATTGAAGTCATTGAACTTGAACTTCCTTTGTGTTAGATGTATAATTGAAATACATTGTTGAGGACTGCTAAATGCAGTCGCCTTTTTCTGCACTCTCTTAACACTCTTGTGTAAAATAGCCATGTGCATTTTTCTGACTGGGAACTTTGAATTGCAAGCTAAAGATTACTACGTGGCCATTTGATGTGAGAGAGTGTTGGAGAGTGCAGGAGAAAGGCGACTGCACGTAGCAGTCCTCTACATTGTTTTCTGCTAACTAAGCGTTTAATGAATCTTCAACTGCAGGAATCACCTGAATATGTTTTTCCAGAAAA